TGTCGTTTTGGCCTCTTTTTTTGGCAGCTAATCGTCCTGGTGGCGGCCAAGGCCAGTTACGAGCTGTCCGGAAATGGTCAACTTCACTGGCCAGTGGCGGCCATCACCCTCATTCAGACGGTCTACCTGGCGAAGAACTTCTACTGGGAGGACGGGTACATGCAATCGTTTGACATCACCTTTGAGCACTTAGGCTTCTACACTGGCTGGGGCTGTATGGTCATTCTGCCGACGCTGTACCCGTTCACCTCGCTGTACTTTGTGGAGCACTGTCCACTGACCGCTTTTGATAACCTCACTTCCGTCTTATCAGTGACCCTTGGGCTAGGCCTGGTAGCGGCCACCTACTGGGCTGATTATCAGCGGCAGGTGGTTCGAGCGACTGATGGTGACACCCTCATTTGGGGCCAAAAACCGACGCTGATCAGGGCAAAGTACACTGATCAGAGTGGAGCTGAGCGTCGATCGGTGCTCCTCGCTTCCGGCTTCTGGGCCATCGGCCGGCACTTTAACTACACCACGGAGATTCTCATCTACCTGGCGATTGGCCTGCCGACTCTGGCCACCAGCCTCCTGCCCTACCTGACCTTTCTCTTTGTTGTGGTAGTGCTCAGTCATCGAGCGACTCGAGATGATCGGAAGTGCGCGCTGAAGTACGGAAAGTACTGGGAGGAGTACTGTTCCCTCGTTCCGGCACTGCTTGTTCCGCGAATTTTTTAAACTGCAAAGCAAAACAGACAAAAAAATAAATAAATAAAGCTGATTTGCAATAAAATAACTTTTGACAAATGTGATTTTGTTTTTTCTTGTTTTTTTGAGCGCTTGATGAGTGGGTGATCAGTTAGGCAAAATTCAGAATGCTTTAAACACAATAGGACATTTAGTTTTCCCTCAATGAATATTTACTTTGTTGCAACATTTTTATTAGCTTAATTTATTTTAATGGCTCATTTATGTTGACTGACTATTGACAATTGAGATGCAATCATAATAAAATTTATATACTTTGTAATCTCTTTTACTTGGAAGTCATAAAAATTAATGGCCAAAAAAGAAAACAAAAAAGTAAAGTTCATGATTGTGAAGTGTGCACCTGGGAAATTGCTACTTTGTCATCTTTCTCTTGGTCATGTACAGCGGAAACTCGGTTGCATTCAACACCGGAGTACCTCGCTGAAAGACCAACTCCTTGGGCGTGTTTGGGGCGGGGGAAAACTCAAAGTTTTCTAGTAAAGCGGCCAGGCAAATCTTCATCTCCTCCATAGCAAAGCGCATGCCGATGCCTAAAAAGAAAATAGAAGTTTTAAAAAATGAAAAACTTTAACTATCATCTAAGGGTTTAAAGTCAAAGCTCACAGTTTCTGGCCCCAGCGCCGAAGGGCAGCCAAGTGTAGGGAACCAGAAGGTGGGCGTTTTCCGGCAAAAACCGCTCCGGTCGGAACTCCTGTGGTTCTGGGTAGTACTCAGGACAGTGGTGGACCGCCCCTACCGGTATCATGATCGTCTGGCCCTTCTCAAGAGGTAGTCTATTCTCCAGCCGGTGACCGTCGGTGACGGTAGTCCTCAGCACCGCCTGAACGGGGGCGTACTTCCGCAGGGTCTCCTTGAGAACTGCCTCCAGGTACGGCAGACGGCTGAGCACCGCCTCAAAATACTCCGGCGAAGTGCGACTGGTGGTTGAAGGAAGTGAATCGAGAGCGGTTTTCAGCTCGTCGTACAGTCGAGCCTGAGCTGACTGATTTTGCGCCAACTCAAAGAGGGCGTGCGAGATGGTGCTGCTGCTGGTCTCGTAGCCGGCGGTCAGGAAGAAGATGCCCTGGGCGATGATCTCCGTCTCAGTTAGGCCAGTCAGGCCGGACTTTGATTTGGCCTTTTTAAGCGGAGTTTTAAACTGGTCAACTTTGGACTGCTTTTCTTCCTCTTCCTCCTCCTCCTCCTCCTCCTCATTTTCAGCCTCTTCAGCATCAACTTCAATTTTATCACTTTTTTCCCCTTCCTCCTCTTGCTCCTGTCCTGCCGCCTCGAGGTGCTCAAAGGTGCTCCTCTCCAGCTCCGCCTCGTCCACCCTGGAGTGCACCAGAAGACGGACAAAGTTGATGCGCTTCTTGCGGATGCTTTCAGTGAAGAGGGCCGACAGAGAGGCTGCCGCCGCGGAGGCCTTTCGCTNTGCCGCCGCGGAGGCCTTTCGCTCGCGGATAATGTGCCTCGTGAGGTCGATGAGAAAGTTGAACGGCTTCGAGGGGAGGAAGCAGTCAATTGAAAGCAGACGGAGGAGGCACTTGGGCAGGACCATGATGGCCGCCAGGCGAAGCGGGGGAATGACAAACAGCTGGCGGCAGTTCTCGACGACGGCGTTTCCAGGGGCGTTTTTGCTGTTTTCCCTCTTATCGCCGTCGCTGATGGCATCAGTCTCGGCGGAGAAGGAGGTCTTCGCGATGACGTCGATGGCGAAGCAGGCGATGATGGCCTTGATCTGCACAGTAGCCTTTGAAAAGGAGGAGGAGGAGGAAGTTAAGAGAGTGGAGTTCAGGTGGCTGACCAGCTTCTCCGCCGACCGGCCCATCATC